TAATGGAAAAATTATCGGTAACTATCAATAATGAAAAAATATCAGTGCCGAACTTAATGATAGGACGATTATTGACGAAGAATTGTATCTGAAGCCACAAAATTTGATAGAAAAACTGAGGGCTGCGCGATTACAATTACAAAATGTAAAGTTCATACATTGCTATTATCTGTAGAATTAAGAATTCTAGAATTATGAACTTTACATACACGTAAAGTTGCTTATTTACACTCATCCTCACCCTCACCCCCACATTCACCCCTAGAATTCAGAATTTTAGAAAATTCTGAACAAGTAAAGTTGAACTTTACATACATGTAAAGTTCATAATTCTAGAATTCTTAATTCTACAGATAATAGCAATGTTTGAACTTTACATTTTGTAATTGTAATCGCGCACGTCTGGAAAAACTGTCAATATATTACGATCACAGTTCGAACAGACATGTTTTTCTTCGCTTTCCAAAACTAGTCGAAAGCACTTGATATTTTTCTTAAGTAGTAGTAGAAAATAAAAGCTGAATTTTACCTTTTTCTTGCAGGTCTCGACAAAAAAATCGCGATTCAAAAAATACCTCCGGTCACTTCTTTCTCGATCGAATATACACATTATTTTAAACTTTTCTACATTAACCCTTTGAGGACGGAATTTTTTTCCAATAGGAAAAACAATCTTCTGTCATTTTATTTCATCTTAACGTAGAATAGTCACATCAAAATCTGATGGTACTCTAAAAAACAGTTTTTGTCATCTTTTAAACAAAATGCCAATTTGCAAGAAAAACGCTCGATATTAGATCGCACTTCTGCTTCCTTGGTGCTGCAATAAGCACATCTTCTTCGTTTTCCTTTCACAGGTAGATGCATATTATTCTCAAAACTAAGAGTTTTGGGTGATGGTAGTTTAGACTTCTTTTCAGAGAGAGGTCTTCTACGATTGGTTCTTTCGCTGCCGGAGCAGAGCGATTTTGCCACTAAAACTATGTAGTTCAAGTGTGTTACCTTATTTTGAACTAACTGATTGTAACACATGAATGAATTGAAAATGGATGCATTTAGAAAATAAACAAAGATCCGAATCCAATTTCTTTTAGACTTGCGGTGGATACTGTAGCACAATATTCTTTGATTGAATAGATCAACCCCATGTGCGAACTGGTTGTAATCTTTTATTGCTTGCGGACATTTGATCGTAATACGTTGACCATTTTTCAAACGACGAGAGACCAGAGCAACTTCGTTCTCTTAATGATAATTTGAAGCTAAAAAAACATGTTTGGTATCCACCCATATGAAGATGAGATTGTTCGATGTAATTATTGACTTGTAATCACCTCGTTCCATTTTGTTTTTCTTAGCAAAGTCAGACGGAATACCTGCTCGATGTGATCTGATCGTTCCACAAGCTTTTACGTTCTGTAACTTCAGTTTTTCTAATAATCTGAGAGAAGTGAAAAAGTTGTCGAAATATAGATGTTTTCCTCTGAAGTTCTGACCAGATATAAGGTCGAAAACAACACGTTCTCCCAACGATGTTTCTTTTGCACTGGTTTCCTCTTTTCCTACATAGATTTGATAGTTGAATAAATATCCAGTGACTGAATCACATAAGCATCAAACTTTATAACCCCTTTTGATTGGTTTCAGAGGCAAATATTGTTTGAGACTTGATCTACCCTTGAATTTGATCATACTTTCGTCGATCGTGGCATAGCGACCAAAAGAGTAGTTTTCCTGGAAATTTCTTCGTAAAATTTCAGTAAATCGTTGAACCTTGTATATTTTACTGTAGTCTTTGGACTCTCGCTCTGGTTTCAGTGAGCTATCCGCCAAGTGTAAGTTATAAAAAATTTGAAGAAATCGACCTCTTGACATGGTCGAAGAGATGAATATATTATGAAATACTATGTCCTTGCTCCAATAAAGTTTCATATTTGGCAAATCACTGACACCCATTAGGATAATCAATCCGAGAAAGACTCGATCTCTGCTTTGCTTACATCTCTCCAGTGATCGATTTTCTTCTTATTACTTTTCGCTTTCTTTCCTTTCCGTAACTGTTTGTTTCCTTTGTAATTAAATGTAAAATTTCATCAGTGAAAAAGGCTCGAAAGATCGAAATTGGAGTTGGCTCTTCGTCGGATATCGAAGTGAAACCGCTATCCGTAGCGATGTTTTCATCCGAGGAATTTAGCTCATTTACATATGCATCCGGATCTTCATCAGAAAGCTCGAGACCATCGAAGTCATCGATCAGTTCATCGTCGTTGAAATCGAAATCACTTTCACTGATGTCATCAGTATCGTATGAATCGCAGGACTCATCATCGACTTCACTTTCCCCATCGAATTCCATCTTCTTTGTGTTTATTACGTAAAGCGCTGTGAGAAACGAAGAACAAAGGTCTAAGAGACGAATCGTTTGAATATATCAATTCCTCCTTGAGAACATGCGTGTATATATATAGTCAAAAAAGGCTGAGAATATTCTCGAAGAAGCGAGTCATCAGAGAGAAAAGAAGAAAATCATGACGTCACTGTTCGCAGCGGCGAAAATCGAGGACAATGGAGACGAACCGATGAGTGCGAAGGAAAGAAAGAAACGAAAAGTGTAACTCGTTGAATTCGATTGTTTTTGATCATAATTACCTTCCTTATTTCGTGTTTCAATGTGGATTAATGATATTTTTACTAATGTAAAATAGGTGGAACAACGTATGTCCCACCGTCCTCAAAGGGTTAATTTCAACTCTCGAAATTAATTAAAACCAATTTATATTATCGAAATTATTTCAAATCTGTTACAAAAACATTTATTTAAATCAATTTGAGAGTAGAAATTAATCTAAAGCAATTTACAGCACGAAATTAATTCGAATTCATTCGAAAGAAATTCAAACCAGTTCAATTAAAAATAATTTAAATTAATGTTTTCTCAAACTAATTGGAGCTAATTTTAGCGAAAATATTAATTCTAGTTCATTTTAACTGCGAAATTGATGTAAATTAATTTACTACAAACGAATTTAAACTAATTTAGTCTCTTAAATTGATGTGAAGTAATTTTTCATCTTTTTTTGGGTCAGAAATTAGTGTGCATTAATCTGAAATTATTTAAAAGTTTCAATGAGTAGTTCTCAGACGTTTGAATATATTTATGATCAGTCTAGTCCAAATGATTATTCTAATTTATCTTTAATAAAACGTTGTTATTTTCCAAAATGTGTTTTTAGTCTATTTGCTAGCTCTTTTTCTAAATAATAATCATTGTAATATTCGCATTTTTGTCGTCACATTGCACGTCAATTATAGAAAAGAACGATGTTGGTCAAACTCAAAGAGCCGGGAATAAAACTTTAAGCACGCAATGATGTTTATAATGGACTGCATGGTGTTAAGGTCCTTATGACCCTCCTTCCATAATAGAAGACCGTTAATCAGTAGTAGACCACTGTCAATTCGATGACATGAAGCCAAACAGAAAATCATGGTCTTCTATTTCCGATAAAAACCAGTGTTGACCGAAACATTTCTAAAAAAGAGCTAAACGGAAAGAATTAGCTGAATTGTGCTTCTGGATAGTACTGCTCCTTTGATCAAGATCCTCAAGTAAGAGGTAAAACTCGGAAGAGCCTCTTGCTTTGTTAAAAAAAGATCAATATTCTAGTGAGACAAAATATGATTTTTTCAATTTTCAGTGTTTATGTTGTTTTACAAAATAATTAAAACAAAACATTTGTGCATGATTTATTACCTCAAAGGATATCCAAATACGTATCGCCTACACAGTCAAGCATCTTCACAATTATCTAATTTTCACGGTGGGTTTCTCGTTCTCAAAAACAATTTTATTCCATCCACAATTATGCAATGAAATACAATATTTAATTAATTATTTGGTATTAAAATTTCACAAAATTAATTTACTTTCAAATGTAAAATGAATGAGCCTTACATACAAAAAACGAAAAATACTGTAAAATTGAATAATATTTTTTCATCGACCCAGTTAATTAACTTTTGATCACAAGCAATAACTTCTGTTAAATTATCATTATTATATCTGTTCCAATCACATTTTGTTGCTGAATTTAAGCCAATAAAATGTTTAATAGTTTGATTATCACTCATCTCACCGCCACCAATAAGAGTAACCATCATTAATGATACCAACGAATATAGTACTAATCTAATGATTTTTGATGAACATGTAGAAAAAGTTTATTGAACTTGAAGCTGGAATGCTTATGCATTTGTTCATAAGAACATGAGATATATATTAGAAGATTTAGTGCTTGTTCCGCGCAGAATTAAATTAGATAAAAATTGGGCACCAGACGTAGAATTTCTTGGTTTATCCAACAGCGGGTTCCTTTTAGTTTTATTTTGATTTCTTCTCTGGCGCCCACATAATCTACAAGATTTTTGCCTATATTTTTTTTCCTCATCGGTTGAAATAAAGATGCCAATGAGAAAAATAAAATTTAGAGAAAAACCACGTAGATTATGTGGATGCCAGAGAAGAAGTCAAAAGGAACCCGCTGTTGGATAGAATGAGAAATTTTGGACCTGGTACCCAATTTTTATCTAATTTAATTCTGCGCCGATCGAGCACTAAACTTTGACATACGAATTAAAAAATGTGTCCAGAAAAACGTCATTAGTCAAAAATCAATAAGTTAGGTTGTTCTTCGGCAAATGCGATTTGATGGAAAACAGCCTATCTTAACGATTTTGATATCTGATTTTTGACTAGCGACGTTTTCCTGGACCCAATCTTTTTAATTTGTACATGAACTGTTGTTGTTGTAGATTATAGCAGCCACACACTTACTATTTTCTGACCAAGTAAATACATTCGTCTAATATGCAGTAGAAACTTTTGGTAATTGCAGTTCTTGAATAAAGAAACGAAAGCGATCAGTCATCGTAAGAGATTTGTAAACTACAGTATATGAAAAGAATAACAACTGCTACTGCGATCATGTCTTCTAACTTGTTTATTCATCTAATTCTAATATCATATCGATTGATGGTATCCATTCATTATTTTTTTCATTTGTAAGGAATGCATCATAAACCACATTGAATTTTGTTCCAATTTGTAAATCTGAATCAGATATTGTTGTCATCAGCGAACGTTTGCTCCGAACCGAAATATGATCATTAACTGCACGTAAATTATGATTACCATTTTTATAGCTAAGATACGATGGTCTTCCTTTGGATTTCGAACTTTCTCTCGGTGAATTTGACCAAACAAATAGATAATAATTATTTTGTAGTTCAATACTTGTTGTTAGAGAAACGCATGACCATTTTAGTGTAGTCCATACATCATTTATTACACGCGCTGTTTGTTTATAGACTAATACATCATTGTAATCTAAAATGTAAACATGCAGTTCATTTGATATTGACCCGTTTATTCGTAGTGATTTAAGTTTGAATGTTTTTTGTCCATTCGCTAGTAGAAAGCGGTAGCCATGAGCATAATTTTCAATTTGTAAAGAATGTTGATCACTTATATTGATTGTCGGTAGTGAAAGAGTGATCAAACCACGAATACCATGACTATCAGCTAGAAACGCCTGGCTTGAGATATTGCCCGCCTGTAAAATTTTTTGTTTGATATCTGATCGTGTTTTAATGTGAACGAAACCACTAATATCATAGACACATCCTTCCATTAGTTGTTCATACTGTTCATTGTGTAGTTCATTATACGTTAATAAATCATCTTTCGTATTTAATATTTGTATAGAATTACCGGTAGACAATATTTGTTTTATCAGCAACTCTCTTACTGACACAGTTTTTAATTGTTCATCAATATCATTTCGTTGTCGCCGAATTATTTCTTGTTGTTCAGCATCCCTGGTAGTAAGTTGATTGATCAACTGTTCCTTTCGAGTTTCTAACATGTTTTGTAATGCTGCAATTGTTTGTTCAATTTCTTTTCTTGTTACAACATGTGCTCTGTAATGTGTATTTTGTGCTTCGGTAGTTTTCGTGGATAAGTCGGTGAGATTTTGTTTCATCTGGTCAAGCTGGTCCAAGGAAGAACCGAATTTTATTTTTGTTTGTTGAACAATTTCTTGCATTGGTATGAATGAGTGATGTTTATGTTGAAATAATAAACAATCACTACAGACTAACAGTTTGCAGCCGGTACACCAATATTTTAATTTTTCTTCGGCATGTTCCTTGCATAATGGAGATAGTTTTTCGTTAATATGAACTATTATTTTATGTGTTTCAAATTCAGCTAAGGAATGTTTTTGTTTTAAGCATGCCGTGCAAAAGTGTTTCTTGCAAGTATCGCAGTAAAATTCAGCGATGACACCATTACATTCATCACATTTGGTCGCTAGCTGCTTGAACTTAGATGAGTAAGTCGATACTTCTTCCTGTTGTTGTTCTTCTTTCTTCAAATGGTCAACCATGTCTTGTACGGCGCGATTTATCGGCAGTTGATCAATTGTATGACGACGAAGAATTGTATTATCTCTCAGAGGACATGTAGCATAATATCCACCATTCTTTTCAACCAATTGTAAAATACATTTAAAACAAAATGTATGGGAACATTGTAACAAACGAGGATCTTCATAGTAATCTAAACATATTGGGCATTTAACTAATGTTTCTAGTTTGTTATTGTTACTTTTTGATGTTGTTGTTGGTTTACCAATTGCTGTTGCCATTTTTTCGCACAACTGATTTGGATTCTTTCCTCCCCTTTCGGTTGCAAAGGTAAAGGAGGAAGTACGTTTTTTCCCACTGTATATGTTGAAATAAACCAAGCTCTCTTTTTTTCCTGTTCTGTTTATAAAATTTACTCAAAAATAACACATTTTGATTTTTTTCTCTCAGTCAGCCTTTTGTTTTGCGCACATTGAATTAGTAGATTATGAAACCCAACAGTAATATTTTCTTATGATTTTTCAACAGTTAATGGTGTTCCAAATGATTTTTCATTTATGAAAATATTATGATCTGCCTTTCCTGGCAGCTCATAACACTATGTTCTCTTCTTCTTTTCCTTTCTTCCTGTTCTTGTGCAACACTTGTTTCATCCTTTCTTTTCTGTTTGCAGTGGCTTTCGCAACTCTTTCTGTTCTTGTGCAACTCTTGCATAACTGTTGTTCAACTTGTGTACTATATATAGCTGTTCACTTTATGCAAATAAATATGAGAAGTGAGTGAGTAGAACCTCACAGAAAAAAATACATTTGATTTCTACGAATGCTATTAAATTTACCGTCAACCGACGTTTGACCGAAGTCGAATGATTATTCACTTCCATAATGATTAATAACGATGATGAGAACAATCTTTTTGTCGTCCGATTATGAACTGAATTATTTGGAGATTTGTAGAATGTACTGAATCTAGTAATTAAATTCACTTATGCAAATATCATTTACTTTTCGAATTATAGCCGTTTTACTAAATCTCTGTCTGTTTGAGCGGCTTGTTCATAAAAGCTCAATTTTTTTCTAAAAGGAAAGAACTTGAAGATATTTAAATGACAGATTCCTGTCTACCAGCGTCTGATCTTTTCTAACATATATATGGCACTATGTAAGAAACGCTTAGATCTTAACTGATCAAGTCCTTCTTGAAAGTGACAGAACGTTTTGACTATCCTAAGTATGAAAAGTAATACATACAAGGTTGATTTCCGTTTTCTGTTAGATAATCTTTCTAAATATTTGATATTATCATGATTGTCGTCAACAAGACGATGAAACACATGAGACGTATCAGGAACGAGTGGGAACTGTCAACTGACAAATTTCCAACGATCCCAAAAATTAAGAGAAAACAAAACGAAGGAATAAGTTTTAGAATTAATGTGTTCGTTTCTAGCTTCGTGCAAGGATTGATTTTGTGTTTTGAACATTTAAGTTTCAGAATGATATAATGGGAATTTATATTCTCGATTTCGTTCTGGTTCACGATTAAAGATTAAACCAAAGGAATTAGTTTAATATCTACGATTCTCTGTTGGAGTTAAAATACCGTTTCGAACAATATTCACTGAATGTTTTCATGCATGTATCATAAAACGGCCGTCGAAGCAAATAACCAGACCATGCAGTTCATCTACACGATATTTCAAATTCGATGAACCTTCAACATCTTCGTAAGCTAAAATAAAGGGAACCGGAAAGCACGAGAAAATTGAGCACTAGGAAACATGAGCACAAATTTACAGTTTATCCATTAAATTTTTTGTATCATAAACAGTTGAAAAAATTTAAGAGAAAGTTAATTTAATCAATTTATTTAATATACTGTTGTCGAAAAGTCGTCAATGTTGGAATTTTAATAATTTGTTGAAAACAAACAGTTGCAAAAATTTAAAATAGAATTGCTGACAATTTAATCAATATATTATTAATTGGTATAATTGATGTAAATTCAATATACTATTATATATTCATAATCATTCCACCATACAATTATGTCTAAGAATTTTTCATTTCATTAATAGAATTGTTGTCTTAATAATTAATTTTCCTTTTCAACAGAACCAGGTCGAATGTTAATATTTGCCAGTTCTGAACAATTAGATATTTTACAATCATGTGATGATTTTCTTGTTGATGGTACATTTAAAGTATGTATAGAAGTAAATATTTCTTGGGTTTCGGCGGAAATTTCAGTTGAGTGGAGTAAAAGTAAATATTCCTATGTTTAGGTTGTTCCTGAGATTTTTTATCAATTATATGTTGTACATGCCATCTATCATGGACACGTTGTACTAGTTGTCTATTCATTACTCAGTCGTAAAAACAGTGATACATATCAACGTCTTATAAATGAAATAATAGAATTTGCTCCATGCTGGTTTTCTGGTTCTATTTTACTTGATTTCGAAAATGCATGTATTAATATATTCGACAGTAGTTTTGTTAATATATCATTATCTGGTTGTTATTTCCATTTTCGTCAAAATCTTCATCGACAACTTCAGGTAACATTGAAGTAATTTAGTATAAAAATACGTTCGAATAGAATATGTTCGCTCTTCAATGTATAACTTGTTTGTTTTTTGTATATTAGGCATTAGGTTATCAGAATCATTATCAAGAAGATGTTAAATTTGCTCATAATATTAATAAAATAGCTGCGTTAGCTTTTATTCCACCTTGTGATGTATTACATGCATATTCACGTCTTGCATTAGATTTTGATGATGATTACCAAGATATTTTAAATTATTTTGAAGATACATATATAGGACGACTTCGCCCTAACAATACACGACGTCAACCAATATTTAGTATTAAATTTTGGAATATGCATACAAGGACAACACAATTATCCATGAGTACAAATAATTCTGTAGAAGCATGGCATCGTCGTATAGGATGTGTATTTCAATGCGCACATCCTACGCTTTGGTCATTTTTACAAAAACTAATTCATGAAGAACATGCAACACATGCTGATATTGTTCATATAAATAGCACCAAAACATAAAAGTAAAACAAATGAACGGTTTGAACGACGCCTTTTAAATCATTTATTGCATCCACATGATGATATTCTTATGCAACTAAATAATATTGCACATAATATTTGCTTATAAAATAAATATTTCTTTCTTTATTGATCATTTAATAAAAAATTTAATATTTTATATAATAGTATATTGAATAAATTGATTAAGTTAACTTTCTCTTAAATTTTTTCAACTGTTTTTGATACAAAAAATTTAATAGATCAACTGTAAATTTGTGCTCATGTTTCCTAGTGCTCAACTTTCCTCGTGCCCAATTTTCCTAGTGCCCATATTTCCTAGTGCTCAACTTTTCTGTGCTCATCGTTCCGTGCTCAAGTTTCTTCGTGCTCATCTTTCACCCACCCAAAATAAAATCATTATTCATACTACAATTTACGACTATTCTGAATTAATCTAAGAATATCTCCACATGAATGACATTCGAAATAATAGTGTCAAAAAAGATACTTTTAAAACATTTTAATAATAATTGATCGAATTCGATACGAAAAACATTTCAGTTCATCAGTTGAATATTACATTTTTCCATCTTTGCTATAAACGTACACAAAACTCTTTTATGTACATAAAAAGCTAGAATCGCTACTAGCAGAGTTAGTGGGTAAAAACGAGATTGATCAGGACGAAATAGAAATATTACTAGAGAATAAGAAAATACCCTCTAGTCACTAAGTTGTACAAATTAAAGGTTAAGAAAACAAGCAAACTAGCCAGTTTAGATATAACTGATTTATTCACGTCAGTAGATCGTGAAAAAGTCATCGTGATAGTAAATGATTTGTTGGATCAGGATGAATCGTGGAAAAGCAAAACCAGTCTAACAAAAGAAAGTTTATTAAGGTTAATTGAATTCAGCATTGAGAATGTCATCTTTCAATTTGGTAGTCAATTTTATAAACAAGTTTATGGACTCCCAATGGGTTCATCTATTTTACCGTTTCTCGCGGATACTGTAGTTAACAATTTTCTATTAAAAAATTGGAATTTTGAAAAGTACCCTTATATCCGGTTAGCAAGATATGTGCACGACATCTTGTTAGTTTCAGAATTAGATAAGGCATAAATCGAGAAATTAGTTAAGAAGTTAAATAGTAAGAATGATCTACAATTTACATTTGAATATGAAAAAGATCATAAAATACCTTTTCTAGACGTACTTATTTGGATAAATGAAAAAAGTGATGAAATAGGTACGGTGGTATAGAAAAGAAACAGCAAGTGCACAGTTATTAGATTTCAACTCTGACAATAGTTATGCAATGAAACAGAATATCGTTATGAACATGATCAATAGCATTAAAACAAGCAATAACGAAAAGGTTAATATAAATGACTTAAAGAGGTTAGAGGAAATGTTAAAGAACAGTTGCTACCCAAAAAGGATAAGAACAAAAATTTTTCAAAAAGCGAGTAAGAAAATTAATAAAGAGGAGAAGGGAGACAGTACAATAGTCATCCCTCATAGACATTTGTTAACGGAAAAATTAAGAGCACATTTAGCTAAATTTAACATTAAAATCTATACCACTTTAAATTGTAGCATAGGATCAATGCTTAACAAAGCAAAGAAAATCGCACAGAAAGATTGTGTTCCCGATCAAAAGAACGAATGTAAATGTGGTCAAGACAGTGTATATGGTGTACCATGTACATGCGGCGATATTTATATCGCTGAGACTTCCTCGTTTAAAAGACGAATAAACGAACATATGCGGAGAATTAAACAGAGAGATGTCAAAGGATCAGAGTTAGCAGAACATGCAGAGAATCCGGGTTATTCTCTTAATTTCGATGAAAGGGTTACCTTTGATAAAGAAAAGCATTGGGCAAGAAGAAAAAAACTAGAAACAGTTTATACTATTACCAATAAGGGTTATAATAAATGCAAAGGAATAAGTCCGCAGTGAAATGTCGGTGTCGCTCAAGTGTCAGTGTCGCTCAAATGTCGGTCGCTCAAACGTCGGTTGACGGTAAATTTAGTAGCATATGGAACACCATTAACTATTGAAAAATCATAAGAAAATGTTACTGTTGGGTTTCATAATCTACTAATCCACTGTACGCAAAACGAAAGGCTGACTGAGAGAAAAAAAATCAAAATATGTGTTATTTTTGAGTAAATTTTATAAACAGAACAGGAAAAAAAGAGAGCTTGGTTTATTCCAACATATACAGTGGGAAAAAAGTGGTCATGTATGTGAATGTATGTGAAAAAATGTTGGGTCTAACACCCTGTTCAATGATTAACCGACATTTGAGCGCCGACACCTGAGCGCCCCGACATTTGAGCGACCGACATTTGAGCGACCGCCACTTGAGCGACCGACATTCGAGCGACCGCCACTTGAGCGACACCGACATTTGAGCGACCGCATTTGAAGGACTCCAACAACTGATCAAAGCGCACCACTTAAAGCTGCTCACTCTCACCCCCACTCACCCTTATCCCACACAACCTCACTCTCTACAGATCTCCAAATAATTCAGTTCATAATCGGACGACAAAAAGATTGTTCTCGTTATCGGAGTGAATGATCATTCGACTTTCCTGATCGGCAAGAAGTCATATTGAAAAGTATCTGATATCGGAGTCGCTCAAATGTCGGTCGCTCATAAATAGGAAAAAAACACCGAAAATTTCAAAGAGTGTCTGTAATTACCCCGAACTACTGCATGCGTCATGAAACATTCAAAAATCATTCTAAAATTGCTCTAGAATAAAGTACTGAAAACCGGCCGTTAACGGTCAGTTAATACGAATTTCTCTGGGAATAATAAATGGTCTGGAAACGGTCAGTAAATGGTGACTGTCAACAGACCGTTTTCTGATCATGGACATTTTCAGACGATTTTTCGACCGTGAAACGATCGCACTGAAAACGGCAAGTTAACGGCTTGTTTACTGGCCGTTTTTTTTCCGTTTTGAGAACGTTAACACGTCGTTTTTTGTCTGACCGTTTACTGGACGTTAACTAGCCGTTAACGGGTGGTTGTTTTGGATCTGGGTTATTAACAAAAATAACAAAAAAGTGGTTTATGGTTTTTGTTTCTGGATTGAATTAGAAGATAATGTTGATGATAGCATTGATAAAATTAAACAACATTTACCATTATCACCACATATACTTAAAGTTTATGTAAATGGATGAGCCATATATCGTACTCAATTGAAAAAAATCAGAAAAAAAATATCGACTATCGGGCGATTTAGCTAGCTAACTCATTATACTACTCGACATAGCTAGCTACCACAAGTCGATATTACCTGATACCATATTTTTATAGCTAGATATTCTCAAAGGCATATTTTTGCTTGGATCGGTGATGAATTTTTATGTGCTTCTGATGAGATCGGCTGTATTAATGTATAATTTTGTTAATGACAATATAGCCCAATACATTACTTTTGCTAATGCCAAATTTTGAGTAAGTGATCGCAGAACTTGGCAACCTACCGTGTCTGGTCAGAATTTCATTCTCTATTCGACTATCAAATAATTAAACACTGAAATCCCATTCTTTAAAAGTTCTAGGTTTTTCAACTTTTGGTCCATGGTGCGCTCATGTTTCGAAAAAAATTATTAAGAGAGCCTCCCAGAAAACCGAACTAAGTACTAAGAGGCTGTCCGCCAACAAATTTTCTTTTTAAATTATTCACATGCCATTTGAAAGATTCCCGTATTTTGAAATGCTCTATTGTATATGAATCGATGCATAATTGTCTGCTCTACAAAATGAAGCTATATTTATTTTGGGACTGCCATAGTCTTTTCTTTAAAAATACTTAAAATAATACATATTTGAAAATATGAAATGTTTTAGTTTTCTATTATTTAGTCCTAGATAACTAAACATATTACTATGTCTAAATACATGATCTTATAGAGTAAATATCGCTCTTTCAAATGAGCCATGAACCAGTCATAGGAGTTTCATAGTTTTTTAGAAAATCAAAAACTACAAATATTCGTGAAAATTCACGTTTTTTCGATGCATCGACGACCCCCGACAGAATGTTTTGTCTCTAGTCTCTTAACAAAATAGTTTCAGAAAAAGTTATTGCAAGGTGAGCAGTCATTTTCAATGCAAATACTAAGACAGCCACTTGACGCAGCCTACCGAGCTACTCTACGGCCCCAGATACTATGACTCGAAGCCTCTTGGTTACAATAGTAGAAAGGGAAATATATTTGTTGAAAGTTGCTTGTTGCAATTTATTGATAAACCAGTAGACCGAATAAGAAGTATTTGTAATATAAATCAATTATACATTCATACAAATCCACCATCAAATGAATTATGTTCGGTTTTTATTGATATAAAAAAAATGCAATCTTGAATTTCATGCTCTATCTTCATCGTTTCATACAGATGTTTCTTTTCTTTCATATTTTAACAAGATGTATACAACAAAGACAACCTAGTGTACTTAGAGAACTTATTGGTCGGTTAGGAAAATTTAAACCAAAAAAGAACAACGATCTAGTCAAATCCTCGATACGAAGTTTAGCTGAACGGCCTGTCCAAATGTAACGGAATTTCATTTTTCCAACCTGTGCGCCCTCTATCTTGGTAAACGCGGAATAGATAAAAGTGAAATTTTTATCAAATGTGTATCCCGTCTGGTCCTGCTACAAAGAAAATTTTGAGTTGATTTCATTCACTCGATCAAAAGTTACAGACAAACTGAAGTCTGTAACGGAATTTCCAAAAATGGACGGTTTTTTTCGGAGCTTTTAGAACTTTCATAATTTCTCTAAAATTAGACATCACAGGAAGACCTTGTTTGTATGAAACTTGTAGAATTTCTTCAGGCTTTCAGAATATCTAATTGGTTTCGTCTGAGAATGTGTGGATCGGAAAAAAGAGCGAAACTACGTCCATAATGGAATTTCATCTGTTTTCGTAGTTCCTTCCATATGCGGTGATTATTCCCCATTGCGAAGTTTCACTAGGA